AATAGTAGTAGTAGTAGTAGTAGTAGTAGTTGTTGTTGTTGTTGTTGTTGTAATAGTACTAGTAGTAGTAGTAGTAGTAGTAGTAGTAGCAGTAGTAGTAGTAGTAGTAGTAGTAGTAGTAGTAGTAGTAACGGTAGTGGTAATAATGGTAATGGTAGCAGTAGCGGTCAGCATCAGCATCAGAAGTAGCTTTAGCAGTAGCAGCAGCAGCAGCAGCAGTCGTCGTCGTTGTTATTGTTCGTGGAAGTGGTAGTAGCAATGGTACGAGTAAATCCGTACTAGTACTGGAAAGTAACAACAGCGACAGTCACAGTCATGGCAGCAGTAGCAGTGCGAGTAATGGCCCTGGCAAAATTCATGATCATGGTCATGGTCATAATGACGGCAAGTGGAACAGTAGCAATCGTCGCCGTCGTCCCTTCTCCGGCGTCGGCCTTGGCGCCGTCGTAATGGCCGGTGCGATTATGGATGATAGTAGCAGTGCGCTGGTCCTCCCCGTCCTCCCTTTCATGCCTGTTATGGGGAAACTTACGGCATGGGTTTCTTCGTAGTGATTGTAGTGGCCAACAACTTGCGTTAAGGCAGCGACATGCACCGACGAGATGCTTGACGGTGGTGTTGTTGCTTCGGCTAGATGCGGCTGGCACATTCCGGCATTCTGGTTCTGGTATCTGGCCTGCTTGCACAGGAGGCCGGCCGCCAATCCCGCAACCTCGGCTGAAGCACGAAAGAGGTGTGCCCGGACTGCGGACCTCACACTCTGGAAGGTGAGAAAGCGAGCATCCCTCCAGCAGGAAGCTCACTCAACAGCGCCAAATGATCAAATGCCTCGGCTTCTTGCGCTGCAAGTCCCACTTCCGAGTTCCAGGGCTTTCTTCTCCCGCAGGCCAAGCCTCGCAGCAAGGGACATGTGGATTCTTTGCCTGCGTCGAGAACCCGCGTATGGACTGTCCAATCCGACGGATGCTTTTGTTCATAGCTTCAGGTGGTTGCCAAGTGCGGTCGATGATAGTGCTCCGCTTTGACAAAAACTCTTCGGTTTGTGCCGGCAGACATCGTGTCTGAATTGAAAGAACAGCGCAATAAGACTATGTTGTGGTATGCAAAGATATGCCAAGCACTCATGTGGAATTCCGTCTGAACGTTCTGTGCACATTTCACTTCGAGGAGGAGTGCCACTGAGTCAGTCGTAACACTTCATCACACTACAAGGGCCGGACTGCTCCCGGTGCGTGTCCAAGTATTTGGCGAGCATGAAGCTGCCCGGCCTTTGACGGATTGGACGACTTGGCCGTAGCTAGAAATGTATAAACGATTTCAATTCACAGGTGGATACCTTCAGCCACCTCTCCTCATTCATTGGAATTCCGAAAAAAACACACGAAACTTACAACAAACTATGGCAAGCCTTGGAATGTGTTGGCTGCGGGTCATGAGCAAACAGGTTCAAATGACAATCAATGCATCGATAAATCTGAAATATTGTAGCAATCCAAAAACCGAACGCTGTGGCCGAGGAAACTTCAAGGATTTCCATGAACTCCTTTCTTAAACGACAAAACTTCTGCCAGCTCAGATTTTTCAATCAGCCACCCAAACCAGCAGAGGCTGACAAGCACTGCACTGTGGCATGAGGGCACCAAAATATGCACGGCACCGTGGCTTCTATCGGCCGGATTCCGAGACCACACCAAGGAGCCCCGAGGAGGCGAATACTCTGGCCAACTGTTGGGACTTCGCCGACTTCGACCGACTTGAAAGCCAAAGTGGCAAGGGATTGCGGCGTGAGCACGAGTTCCATGCCACCACACCCCAAAATACACACGGCAGCGTGGCGGGAGGGTGTTTCGTCAAGTTGGGCAAGACCGAATAAAGATTGGATAATAGCGCGGCCTGAGCACGAAAAAAAAACGATTTCAGTCCGAGTTGTACACCACAGCGGGAGCTGCAGTAATTGCCGTTTATGCCTGCTGTGGCCCTTCGTGCGCAAGGCAACCGCGTCTTTTTTTTTGAAGGTAGAACCTTAGAGCGTTACCACTCCGATCGGGGGAAGTACCTGCAACGCCAACTATGGGAGGAATCCTCGGGGGTTTTTGAAAGGACTGCTCTGCAAAAGCTCTGAACTTTCTGGCATGGTATGTCGTGTTTCGGAGGGGATGCACTCTAAAGGCTTGTCGTTTATGGAACTTCACAAACGCACGCAGGCAGCCATACCGAACTGATCCCCCGTAAGTTGAAAGCACGAAGTACAAACCTGAAACATCACATACATATGAACTTACATACGACTGAATAAACACGTAAAAAAGTGTTATACTGTTTACCACACACGCAGTGCCTTCGAAAATCATGAAAGGCCTGCTGGGGAGTGGTCGAACTGATGTTGATTCACTGAGTGCATGCCACTTGAAACTTCAAGCTCCAGGCCAGGGCATGTAGCCCAAGCCTCCATTTTCTGGCCACTTCACCTCGTTGGCTTGGGACACGGACGGCGCAAGAGGTCTCTGCTCTCGGCCTTGTGGGCCTTCCGGGCCTTCGCCTTTGCGCCCCTTCACACAACCCCACAGTACGTTTGCCTCGCCTGGTACACGCGGCCGTCTGACAGCACGCGTCGATCGATGGTCGTGGCTCGGGAGCTTCCCTGGCCGAAAACAAGCCAAGAGGAGAGCTAGCACTTGTGAAAGACTGCTAAGAGGAACTCTGATCATTCGACTATCCGGCCTACTACATTGCGACTGCACTCTCCATGAATGGGACAAAGAGACGGCCGTGCTCAGGGCCCAAAAGGTGGAGGAGATTGAGGGATGGGAAGGGCGAGTCTGACTTCTTCTTGGATTCAGGGCTGTCCTTCCCTTTCACGAGATGGAGGTTGGAACAACATGGTTGTAGGGTTCAAAGCTCTACACCCCCCGGCATTCCTTTCGAAGATTCAAGGCTTGCTGCGCCTCACTCCTTTTTAGTCCTTTTAGAAGTGACAGTAGTATGCATACGCGCCCAGCGACACCTTCCATGCATGAAGGTCTGTTCGTGTGCACATACACACCACACAACACCCCGAGATATAGATATATGTCCGTATACACTGACATATGCATGCATACCTAGTAAGTGAACAAGAACACTCCGAGTAAAAACAAGCATCGCCGCAAATAAGCTCGATTTGAGTGCTGCTGCTGCTGCTGTTGCTGTAGTCGTGGTCGTTGTTAGTGATGTTGTTGATGCTTCCGCCCATGTTGATGTTTCTTTTGCTGCTTCTGCTGCAACTGTTAATAATGCATCAGTGTCGTTGTCACTGTAGGCGCTTTGTTGCAATGATTGATGCTAACGTCTTTTCTTCTTCGTAGCACGGCTGCATGCGGCTGCTCTGGCAAGCTTGTTGCTAGTCATTATGTTGTCGGGATTGCAACTGCAACTCGGAGGCAAGCAGCGTACTGAAGCTCCAATGCGTTTATCTATGAGTTTGCCGAGATGTACAACTACGACATGACTTTACAGCGTTTTTTCCGCCCCTACTTGTTTATTTGATTGCGCCTTTGTGTTGTGGTTGATTCCGGTTATGTGGCTCTTGTAGACGGCTTACTTCCGTTCACAGGCATTCGTTTGTGGTTGCTTCTTCCATGATCGTCTTTTTCTTCCTTCACTTATTACTTCCGTTCGTTCGTCTTCGGTTTGGTTCTTCCTTACCGAACGACAAAGTCGATTTAAGGCAATAGGTAGACAAAGGCAAGCAACAGTCAGCAACGATTATGTACACTATGCCAACAAGTGTCTGACGGGCCACGGACGGGTTCAAACAGCACGGCCACTTCCCAGCATGAATTTCTCTTCAGTGGATCAAGGAAAAAGCCCACTTCAAAGTTCCGTAGCCCTGTTGCGCCTGTCCCATGATCACATGCAGGAGCCCATGTGCATTGCACGTGCGCTGCAAGCTGAATTCGAGGCAACAACTTCGAATAAGCTGTGCTGTTGTGGTGACCAGCTTCTGCTCGTCATGCGTGTCCGTGAAAGGTCCAGATTGTACGAAGGTAGCACTGTCACATTGCTCCTTGATGCTCCTTGCAAATCGTTGCCACCGTTCCCGACATGTTCACGGCTTCACATGTGTCTCATCAAGCAGCTTTGGGCCATGGGAAGCTGCTCTCGACCCCGACACCCGTGTCAAGTGGAGAGCGACGGCCTCTCAATATGCCCCGACTTTGAGATGCTGCAGCACTCTAGGCATGTCCTCCAAGGACTCTCGGACTCAGCAGCATCTCTCAACACACTGCATCGCGCTGCCTTCGACGAGCTTCACAAACGCCGTGGGAGTCGAGGTCCAAAGCCTTGGCAGCTCTCGGCGGAACGGAAGCTATCTCCGAAACTCTAGGAGCTACGTCAAAGAATGTTGTAGATAAACCATGGCGTCGCAGCTCTCTCCTCGCTGCAGCTCGGCGCCATGTTGCTTCGGGTTTGAGTTCCCACCAATGCGAAGTTCTCTTTACACATGCCGCTTACCCTGTTACGGGAACATGGCTCATGGTTGGCGGCTGTAAATATGTACCATGCCTCCTGCAGACGTTGGAGCTGAAGAGAGTGACATTGCATCGCTGCAGGAGAAGTCGCCGTGTTGCAGCTGAGGAGCGTCTCAAGGCATATTGGACACTCGGCTGTCCGATCCTCCAGCCATAGAGTCCAAGGTTTTCCATGAAGTGCATTGCGAATTTCCCGCCATAAAGGAGATCCGCAGCAAGTCTGATCCCTGAATGTGTCATAAATCCTTGCCAAACGGCTCGCATTTCGCTTCTGCCGCGTCTCCTAATGCCTCGAGAGAAACAAACCCGCATGCAAGGGATCCTCCAACAACGCTGTTGGCTGCACCCATGGGTCGATGTCCTTGCGGGGGTCCAAAGAGATTTACAAGTGGGCTTGCTGCTATGCGCTAGTTAGCGGCTCTCAACTCGCCTCTTTATGCATTTGTACTCAACTGATCTGTGCTCTGCGAAATAGGGGTGGGTGCCCCTCGCACACGAGGCCTGGCCCAGCCGCCGCAGGAATGGCTCCAGGAGATCATTGAAACCCGCTTGGTTGTTGTCGGCCTTGAACCAGTTTGAGATTCATGGCCGGCCGGCCGCTCAAACGTTGAAATAGCTTGATCAAGCGACAAGATCATTTGCACCCTTCATGCGAAGCCTCGCTAAGTGTCGTTCGAACTCTTGGCATGTGTTTGGCATGCTTGGCCCGCCGCCTGCTCCTGCACAAAGCTCAAGAGGGGTTGGCCGTGCAGCGTGGCAGTGGTGCTCGCACCCACGTGGAGCAAGATTCTGGGAGCAGGGGCTTGGATCCTACTGGGCACTGAAGCTCGGCTTGAGGAGATAGAGACTTTGAAGTTCAGAGTGCGGGGCAGTCTCTGCGCACATACTTGTTGGAGGAGAAACTCAGTGCAAAGAAACCCTACTGACAGTGCCGTGACAAGCCCTGCGCAGCTGCTCAGGCACAGCCACTGTGTGATGTCCTACCTCGACGTGCTCATATTCTGCAAAGCGAGAGCCCTGACCCGTGTGGACTTATACTCCACATATCCGAGTCCTGAGTTGCAGCTGTCAGCTGCTTTTGATTACAGTATGACGTCCAAAGAGGGAATAGAGGGGAAGCTCGGAATGCCTCGCTGCGTTCAGCCATTGAGGATCTTCCACCTGACCAATCATATTAGGCTCCAAGCTTCTTGCGGCTCGCATGGCGTTGGATGAGTTTGCGCTAGTCAACAAGTTGCTGGCAGCTTCCAGGCATGGCAATCCTGCATGCTGCATCATCTGGAATTGCTGCGTAGTCCAATCACAGGCATATTGCGGTGCAGTAGCTGCAGGGATCGATCGAGACTGTGCTGCCACTTTTGAGGATCAGGCCGCACGTTCCAGCATCAGGCCCAAAGCTGAGTCTTCAGAGGCGTATGGCGGTACCTAAGTGTTCCAGCAAATGGGATGCTTCAGACTTGATGCCACCGGGCCAGGAGATGCTCGTACCAGCTTTGAGACCGCCTCGACGTCGTGGCACTGAAACTCTACAGATGCCTGAATCAGCAAGCCGTAGATTTCTAGAGCATGCATGCAAGTATTTTCCCTCTCGCACCGCCGCTTATACTGGACTGTATTGTATTGTCTTGTCAGGTCTTGCATTGTGTGTTACTGTCTTGTCATGCCATATAACGGCATGTGATGTGATGCGTGTGTATGCAGCGTGTGTATATATGCATATATATATATATGCATATGTGTACACCCATGTATGTAGACATGATTTTTTGTACCTGTGCACGTAAAGCGAATCGATACATAGAACCCCGCACATGGACAAGTACATATGTATGTATACCCATGCATACACATGGTCACAGTATCCATTAGCACGGTGTACATGCATGATATGTGTCTACCGAGCATGGAGAGAGAGAGAGAGAGAGGCCGGCAAAAGTCTGTTTCCAAGTTTCCAAGCAGAAGGCTTGCCAGCTTCCTGACAAATACTCTTTCATCTTTGCCGAGTCAGCCTCGATCAACCTCGAGACCTGTAAGACGTCCAGTTTTCCACAACCGCAAACCTATGCCACAATGCTGAAACCGATCGTGAAGCTGAAACTGGACTGTACTTTCGAAAATTCTACATGCAGTCTGACAGAAACCCTGAGCCTGCAAGTTGCATCTTGAACAATCAAGCGGCTCATTCTGTCAGAAGCACCAGCTACAAATTGTGAAAGAAGACATGTTCCGCTAAATCCAGGGCATAACCGCCGAATACCAAGGGTGCAAAGCAAGCAACCTGCAGATGTGTCGACCATGGCTAAGCAGGAGTGTTATGTCAAGAAAGCAGCGTCCACAACCAAAACCCCAAAGACCGCGTAGCTCGGCCAGCGACATCCAAGAGCTGACTTCGCGAGCTCTCCGCACCTGAACTGGATAGAACTGTTCAAAGAGCAACAACTGCCTGCACAAAGCGCTGAACCAGCAGGGCCGAGACTTTCTGGGTCTGAAGGCTGATGTGCCAGTGTCTCGTGGCACGTTTCGCTAGGGAATTCTTGAATCAGCCGCGTGAGAGTATAGTGCACCCGTTTTCTTCGTTTCGGCAGCCACAGATTAAACTTGGGGAGAAAAGTAGTATCTGCTGAAGGAAGAGTCTGGCGTCTCGTGTAGGTAGTTTCCAGGCCTCGAGCGTTGACGGAGAGTCCGATCCTGCGCAGTGCGAGGCAGTGCGGCGGCTCTCGAGGCCTTCGTGAAGGAACCCATTCTGCGCATGCTGCTCTGCCTTCGTTTTCTGAAAAATCGGACTTAGACAGGAAGTGCGATCCCAGATCCTGCATTCAGCAAGTGTCAAGTAGCAGTCCAAATCGCGAGCTTCTTGGCTAGGTTGGGAAGGTTCTGCTGCAGGCTCACCCGCCTGGCGACGGGATGAGAAACCACACCCACCCACCGTTTCTGTTGTTGTTGTTGTTGTTGTTGTTGTTGTTGTTGTTGAGGTCGAGACACAGCCTAGACTCTGCATTCGCTTTCAAGAGCTCTCGCTTAGAGTTCGAGGACGAATCCTCCAGACTTGAAAGGTTGACTCACATCCAATGAACTAACATTATTAAGCTTGTAGACATTGTAGACATTGAACATGCTCTTTGGAGTTCTCGACCCTTGCAGGAACTCCTGTTGAAGCCCCGGACAAGCTGAGGGAAGCACCAAAGGGCCGAACAGGTGGCAGGCGGGAGCAGTACGCGCCGAGCCTTCCTGCAACTGAAGCCAAACACACTGACACACGCACAAAATGCTCGTGCCCGGTGTGCCCCTAACCTTGCTGAGTCATCGATATTGTGTGATTTCTGGGTGTCCGTGCGTTTACTTCAGGATCAGAGGTGCTGCCCAAACACTTTGTCTGGAATCAGGCTGGCATGCCAGCACACCATACATTGATTTCTCGGTGGCGCAATGCCCGTTTTGCGAATCGTGTTCCTATTACAGTCTCACTGGCAATTGTTCGACAGCTCTCGCCATGCACACTTTGGACCGACATCGAGCTTGCGGGTGTGCAATTTCCTGGCCTCCTCGCATTTTCGGGTAGCACAATGCTTCTGTGGAAGTGCCGTCGTCACTGCATCATGTGCTTCTTGCAATCGTCGTTATTTTCATGCCTGCCATGTGGAAGGTAGTCCAAGTCTATACATGACGGCCAGAGTATGGACGCATGATCGACAATCAGTTCAAAAATCCTTGCGTACGCAGCTTTGTGAGGAGACGTTTGAGATCATCGGTATTCTCACTGCAAGAGCCAGCGCCCGCGCTGTCGCCAGACACCTGCGACCTCACACCACCGTCGCAGGTGTCTCTGTCGCCAGGCCAACCCTTCCTCCCACACCTGGCTTTAGTGAACCCATGGATGTCGGCTGAGCGCGGGCCTTCTCAGGACTCCCTTTGCCTTGTAGTCACCTCTTTGTCGCTTCTTGGCCTCCTAAGGCGCAGTTCCCGGCCGGTAGACTCTCGGTTTACTTGGCTGGTCCCTTCCCCCTTTGCTTGTATCTAGTTTTGTAGCTAGCAGCTGGAGGGCTGTAGTCTAGTAGGCTCAGGGTTGATTCCGTATATGAGGATCACATGCCACATGTTTGGGGCTGTGGCTGCTAGTTAAGAGTGACAGCCGGTGGTTCAACTGACCACAGTCAAGACGGACTCGACACAAGTTCTGCCCAGTGATGGTACGTATGCAATATGGCATTATGACATCTCAGCAGAAGCCAGCTGTCCCGCTCTGGCACAATTCAAGCACCAGGAGCAAGATGTCCGGCGACCTCAGCTTTGCTCAGTAGCACAAATCCTCACGTTGGGGGAAACAAACGATTCGTCAGAGGGCCTTGTGGCAACGGCCACAAGAAAACAGCACGCATCACGGCTGCAATCGGCCTGAGTAATTTACACTTTCACCACCCTGTTCCAGTGTCCCACACTTCAGAACCTTTGTAGCATTTAGCTGCTAAGCTGCGCACCACTCACTAGGGACTGGCTTGGAAAACGACGATCTTGACACCTGGCTCTGGAAAGAAAGTTTTCGCAACAGGTGGTCGGGAGCGTAAACAGTGATGAGTTTCAAAATCATTTAAAGAAATAGCCCATAATATAGTATGGGCAATTCTGACATTAAATCATCTATTCAAAAGTGTTCTAGATGTAGGAAGGAAACAACAACAGATAAGTTTAGTCTAGAACGAAAGTCATGCATTGAATGTTTAGAACGAAAAGCAAGATATAGAGAGCGTCTAGCTTGACAACAACTTGGACACGATACACTCGGTGCGAGAGCTACGGGGCTCAATTCAAGATTGAGGCTTCGTCGGGTTTCGTTACTGATGTCGCAAGATTCCACCAGTCAGAAACCTCTCTTGAACGATGAGAACGCCAGCCAGAGTCGATCGTCGCATGAGCCTGAAAATAATGCAGCAGGCATGTAGAAGAAATTCGATGCCCAAGACTTGCCTCCTTCGGAGGAAGCGGTGGAGGAGAACTCGTACCAGACCTTGACAGAAGATGTTCGCTGGATGCTTTTGATTTTGTTTCGATTTCGAAGACTGGTAACGGTGTTGAACTATCTGAACCGAGCAGCACTTCTCATTCAATTATCTGGAACATGAGCTCATGTTCTGCCATGATCTTCAGGCGGGTGCATGCCTTGTCAATATGTCCACAGCTCCGTTTTGCATGTGCGTACTTAATAGGTTGAGCCGACCGGAGTGCCCGAGATTGCGACGGCGTGCACGACATTCAATATGATATACCTGTCGAAGAGCATCTTCGCCTAGACAATAGGTAAGGTAACCAGATGTGTAATTCAAAACCTCTCGGGAGTCAAGGAAGCTGAACTCGAACTTGGCCCCTGACTCCCTCCCTCCCTCCCTCCCTCCCTCCCTCCCTCCCTCCCTCCCTCGTTCACCGGCCACCTCTCATTTCCTGAGGATCTGACGCGCCGCATGATTGCGAGCTGCCTGTTTTGGTTTGGCTTGAGCTTTTCCTACATGCTGCAAGCTTCAGGCGTAGCACTGGGAAGGACTTGTGTGTCTCAGTTTGTGCCATCAGGGCATCTTGAAACTTGCGTCGTCGCCACAACGGCAGCGGGCCACTCTGCGCGTGTACCCAATCTTGCAAACTCGCCATCTTGGATCTCCGTGTCTTCATAGCATAGAAACCATATAGAAACCTCTCGAACTCGAAACGCCCGACTGTCCGCGTTTTGGGCCGCCACCCCACTCCCTGCATGGACCTGCTTGTCATTCAGTGCACCCTCGGATGTGCCATCGTTGCTGTCAAGAGTTCCGAAAACGGCGATCGAATGCCGAGCTTGTAACCCTCAAGATTTTGCTCGTCTGTTGGTTTGTCCCGTTGGTGTACTTCACGCTGCCTTTCGCATTCATGCAGCTTTCCATGTCGTGAATGCCGTGGATAAACGGTCGCTCATGCTGAACACCGGGTTTCGTGCAAGGTCAAGCCTAGTAACCTTAGAGCTTAAATTGAAACCGTAAACTTTGCAATGAAATGGCCGGTCGACATGCACGAGGTAACACCTCGAAGCCCTTCTAGCCCTCTGAAACCCGAAGCTGTGGAAAGCTTGTGCGACGGTGCTAACGATGAGAGGTATGGCGGCAGGCTGCAAACCTCAAGCCCATGTCTGGCCGGGCTTCAGCTGCAAGACTCCCTTCTGACTACGTTTATGCGCAATTCAAGACATGCCCAACGTGCACGGTCAGCAACCCTGGTCTTCCGATGGACAGCAACGGTTCTTGCCTTAACTTTGGATGTTTAAGGTTGAACACCACCCCGTGTCTTTGCGTTCGATTGCACGAGACCTTGACGATGTGATGCCCAAGAGTGCCCCAGACCAAGCTGACATGCACATGCTGGAAGTG